AATGTATGACTTCACATGCAATCATAAAAGAAAAAATTAGTTATGTAACATGCTTGAAGGAAAGAACTCAAACAAACGCTACAACCCTGAGAGACTTGAGCCTATAACGTTCTTTGGAGAGTATAATCTGTGATTTCTTGTTTTCCAAAGTTGTTGCATGATCTCATTATTCTTTGCTTGGTTACTACTTAGAAGGCGTTTCATCATATCGTTCCAAATGCTAGAACTCATGCCCATTTCATTCAAAGCATGTTATTGATTTGCATAACATATATCAAGATGAAGTTGTGTAGTTGCCACCATAGCCAAATAGCCTCACTTCCCATATTTCGTATATGTTGTAAGTTTTACCCCCGTTGAGCCATGTTAGCCCATGTTCTTTGTTAACCCACTTTATCTTCACCTAACCTAGAATATGACCGTCCTTACCCTTGTTCTTAAAAGATAGTGAGCATGACTTAAATGAATTCCTTTTGAGTTACATTATGCAAGAAAATGAGTGTGGGGGAAGGAATGCTTGTTCTTAAGTATGTTTTGAGTTTCAAAAGAAAAGAAAAAAAAAAAAAAAAAAAAAAAAAAAGAAAGAAAGAAAAAAGAGCTTGAAAAAAATGAAAGAATGAGTGATTGAAGAAAGGGCTCAAAACACCAATTCTGGCCCAAAATTGTCTAAATTCTCCCTTTTGTTCCAAAGTTGAGTTTTCATTCAAAAGTGAATTCTAAGTTGATTCAATTGCCTTGCTCACTATTTCTTTAAGAACCTTTGTTTTCCATATCCCTTCTTTGTTATCCACACGCCCCAAGCCCCATTACAACCCGTGACTTCAATCTTGAGTGTTATGTGTTTCAATTTGTGGAGTTTGAACTTGGTATGAGCATATGGTGTCACTAGTTCTCGCGTCTAAGTAGTAGCATTCCATTCATGAGATCATATCTAAACATGCTTATTAACTCCAAAAATTGCGTTCTTTGTGATACATATATGTGAGTGTTCGTTTTCATGTTTACATCAATCTTCTCACATATGACTAGATTAGGGTGTGTAGTTAGAAAATCTGAGTGAAAATTGAGTGCATATCTTGTAAGGAATTGAGCAAATTCTCTAAGGCATGTTACTACATTCAAAACATGGTTTTAAATGCTTAATTGCGAACTAGTATGTGGTGACTATGATTAAGAATGTACTTAAGGGTAAAGATGGCTAAATTCTGTGGGAATAATGATTTTTAACTTGTCATGTGCATTGGAAATCCCTGAAACGATTGTTGGAAGGTGTAGGTTGTGTTTTACGTGTTTAGTGTCGTTTTGTTTATTTGTTTTTATTCTGTTTTGCTCGAGGACTAGCAAAAGATAAGTGTGGGGGAGTTTGATAGGAGCATATTCATGCGACTTAAATGGCTTGTTCTCGTACGTTTACGTTATGTTTCTCTAGTTATTATAGTCATTTATGCTTCTTTTGTGTGTTTTCAGGTTCTAAGGGCTTAGGGAGCAAGAAAGTGCATTTTGAGGCTATTTGGAGCATTTTTGGACATGGATTGGATAGCTTAATCATGGAGCAAAGAGGATGGATGAAATTGAAGCCTTGTATGCTCTTTGGGGACATCAAACAAAGGGCCTAGCCCAATCAAACAAATCCTTTGAGCCATGGAAAACCTCTAGCCCAATCAAACATATTATGCCATGCAAACCAACTTATTTTAGGCCCATTCTATGTACTTAAACCCTAGCCCTTTAAACTAGCCCTATTATGATTTATTCACTTCCATACTCTTCTTAATTCCACATGCATTCACACATATGCACATCATTCACTCACATTACCTAGCCACATGCTTTCCAAGCTTTCCCCCTTAATCATTAAGCAAAACATTCACACACATGCACCCAAAACACATTGACGTGCAATGTGTTTCCATTTTCTGCACCTTTCCTCCTTGCAAACACATGCATTCATCATTATAACCCACCTACATTCTACCTAATCCACATGCCTTCCCAACAATATAATTGAGCCAACACATGCATCCAAACAAAGCCAACCTAGCTAACCCTACATGCATTTCTTTATTCATTCTTCATCACATGCATTTTCACCACCATTCACACACACATTCACCCTTTGTGCCGTGCCTTCCCTCTCCTATTTCCAACCACATTCTTCCACTTCCCACTTCATCATTACACCACCTAATCCACATGCACTCCCATCCATTTCATCATTGCATTCATCACCAAAGAACCAACTCAATGCCGTGCACTCCTTTAGCATTTCCAGCTTTTCCCTTTGCATTTCACATGCATTCCATACTTCTCCTAGCTATTTTCCATCATTATTTCAACCACCATTCACTCTTTAACCCACACACACTTCACACAAACAACATTCACATGCATTCACATGCATTTCCAACACAAAACACACTCAAAACCGTGGCCACCTTTGCATTTCAGCATTCCCATTTGCATTTTCAGATTTCCAGCTTTCCAACCTAGCCAAGTCACATGCATTCATTCATAATCATTCACCAAACATGCAGCCACATTTCCACCCACCTCCTAGCTGTCATGTTCCCTCCATTACTCCTATAAATACCCTTGCATTCATTCATCTAATTCCTCATTCCATTCACAACACAACACACAACACAAACACACATCCCTTGCCGTGCATATCCTTCCATTTCTGTGCAGTTTTTTCTCCTCCATTGCAGCCACTATCCAACCACTTCCCATCCCTCCAAAACACTTCACACCATCACACAACCTATCCTTAGACCTTGTGCTACAACAACGAGGAAGAGAAGAGTGCCTAAACGTTCATACAATTCAAGTTTGAGTTGTTGGAATGTTTTGGTGTTTCTTTGATTTCAATGTTTAATTTCAATTCTCTTTGTTTTGTAAGTATGAGGAACTAAACCCCCCTTAGCTAGGGGGTGATTCGAAATATATGTTTATGCTTGCAATATGATTTGATTACTTTTAATTACGTTTCATAAGTTGTGAATTCAATTTGTTTAACTATTTGATTGATATCCTATTTATGTATGTTTATTAAGAATGAACGCTTAATTTTCATGCATGAATATGACGCTAGAATATAAGTGAGTTTCACATAATAGTTATGAACTTATATTCACAAGTAGTGGAGGTTGCTTATAAACAATCGCGTTAAACAAATTCTTGGCATAAGTTTCATGCAATCATAGTAACGAATGCCTCGTCAACACTTATAGTTTTCATGTTGCTTAATGATTCTTGCTTGTATCTCTATTATGCAATTCATGTAGGGAACTTGTGAGGAATGCTTTGGATTGTCGTATGCAATCATCCAATTCATTAACTTAAGGAAAACTTGACGGTTAATTTAAGCGGACCTAATTAACCCGGGGCGTTGAGAATTCATAATTTATTGAAAAGCAATTAGACATCGTTTTGTATGCAAGTATAACATATGTGGAGATGAACCCCTTAGCTAGCTTCCCATCCATTCATTTCCGTCAAATCCATATTTACAATTTGTTTTGTTTCCAAGTATCCATTTTAGTTTAAATTCGTCCAAATCCAATTCCCCCCTATTTCGTTGAAGTCTTAGTCTTAATCTTTCTTATTTTTAGTTTTGCTTTCTTCGAGCATTAAATAGTGTTTTATATTGTGTTTTTACGTTTTTAAGTCAAATCCAAGTGATTAACAATCCCTTCTAATCCCCGGTCCAGAACGATCCCTACTTATACACTTCACTACAATTGACAAAAAGAGGGTTTAATTTGTGTGCGCATAAATCACGCATCAACGACTTTATTACTGATCTATAGAGCTCAAATAAAGGGCATAATGGAGTTTGTGATTGTGGATCGACTTACGAAGAGTGCTCATTTCTTGCCCATGAAGATAAATTTGCCTATTGACTACTTTGCTAAGCTCTACATTGAGTGGATTATTCGATTGCATGGAATCCCTAAAACAATAGTTTCCGATCGAGACTCTCGATTCACTTCATGTCTTTGGGAAAAGTTACAAGTGGAATTAGGTACAGAACTTAATTTGAGCACAGCATACCATCCACAAACTGATGGACAATCAGAACGGGTCATCCAAATTTTGGAAGATATGTTGAGGGCTTGTATTTTGGATTTTGGAGGAAAATGGAGTGTACATCTTCCACTTGCTGAATTTGTCTACAATAACAGTTACCAAATTAGTATTGGTATGGCACCCTACGAGGCTCTATATGGAAGACCTTGTCGATCACTGATTTGTTGGGTTGATGCAGAAGATCGAATAGTTTTGGGTCCAGAGATCATAAAGGAAACAACTGAGAAGGTTAAGCTTATTCGTGATCGACTCAAGACTGCACAAAGTAGGCAGAAGTCTTATGCAGATAGGAGAAGAAGACTATTGGAATTTCATTATGGTGATTTTGTATTTTTGAAGGTAAGCCCTCGAAAAAGAATACATCGATTTGGAATGAAAGGAAAATTGGCACCTAGATATGTTGGTCCCTTCAAGATAATTGGAAGAGTAGGGAATGTTGCTTACAAACTGGAGCTGCCACCCCAACTTGGTCATATTCATAATGTATTTCACGTCTCCCAATTGAAGAAAAGTGCTCCAGAAATTCAGCATATTAAGCCATGGGTGGACTTGCCGTTGGAGCCAAATGGAACATGTGTTGAAGGTCCAATTTGTACTCTTGATTGAGAAATAAAGAAGCTCCAAAATCGAAGTGTACCACTTGTCAAAGTAAAATGGCAACATCACGGAGTTGAAGAAGCTACATGGGAGTTAGGCCTGGTTTGGTACTGAGGTGATTCTGTAAAAAGTTGGGAGCTATTTTTGTGTTTGGTAAACATTTAGCTTCAACTTTTTTTCATAGTTTTGGGTGAAAAAAAGCCAAAAACAAGAAGCTACAAAACCCAGCTTTGAAAAACTGGCTTTTTTTTCACATCTGTTTCACATAAAAGTTTACCAAACACTATAATACTGTTTTTTTTTTCAAAAACACTTTTACAAAAAAGTTTACCAAATACTCTACTGCTTTATTTTACAGCTGTTTATTCTCACAGCACAGCAGAAACAACTTTTTTTCAAAGCACAGCAATACCAAACTAGCCCTTAGAATCTGAAATAAAGCAGAAGTATCCCCACTTGTTTGAGTGACTCTGCAAATTTCGGAGGCAAAATTTATTTTAAAGGGGGTGGAATGTAAAACCCCCAAAATATATATTTAGTTATGTGGAGCTTGTAAAAGTTTAGATGGGTTAAAGTGGGTGTGTTAAAAAAAAAAAAGAAAAAAAACAAAACTGACATAAGGAATGGAGAACATGTGCGCGTAAGATGATCCCTTCATCTTTAGGTGTGTTGGTGCACTGTTTCCAAAATGGCAGAAAGGAAGAGAAACTGTCATGGGTTCTCTTTAGGCGTCGAAGAAAGAAAAATGTATGGGTTAATTTCTAGACATCAGAATTGCAATCCATTTTCGCCTCTATGATCACAACGTTGAGCTCTCCGAACGAAGGTAGAGTTCAAAGCTTATTTGCAGATTCAAAATTATATTTTGGTTGAGGATTTCATGTTAATAACTTTGAAAATTTGTGTTTGAAGTGCTATTTGGTTGAATTGAGAGTTTTTGAAGTCTCAAGGCTGGTTGAACAATATTATTGAAGAAGATAGAGGTAAAATTTTACTTGATTTGGAGTTATGGAATTCAAGTGTGCATTGGCTATTAGATGGCATTTGATATATGGCTCCTAAATGGATTTCATGGAGAAGGTTAATTAACTGGGATTTATGTGAATAAATATTGGTTTTGGTTATTTTGGGGATATACACGCACTGTGCAGATGGAATTCAGACGTGTTAGTTTATGTTGGTACATCCAAACTGTGTATTGATATTTCTTTTTCTGATTAGGCACTTTCTTGGCTTAAGCAAGATCAAGAGCTAAGAGCGAACAATTGTGGAAAGAGTTAGTACTTGAAGCTTGGAATATCAGGTAGGGGGACTCACACCTTGGTTAGTGGTTTTTAGTATGTATTATGTATGTAAATATGGATGCGTGCAAGCCATGCATTGGATTTTGTTGTTGGAACTGCATGTTAGGAAAAGGAGTTTGATTTTTCTAGCATGTGATTTATGTTGTTCGAAATTGTAATGACAACCTGAGAGTGAAGGGGGCTGCATGACTACCGTGGGCTTCGATCCCTTAAACCTCCGGAGGGTTTTATATAAACAGACTCGTACCATTAATTGGTAAGGGGAGGGTACTTGTGTCTATGTGGTATAGGTTGTAAGTGGACACTCTCACTACCCTACCTTGTGTTGAAATTACTTGAGAATTTTATTTTAGGTATGGTAGTTGGCCGCATGTTCAGTTGTCAAGACAAAAAGAATGCAGGGATCCCGCTATGGTTAATTATGAGCATGAAATAAATTTTAACTCATGCTAAAGCATTTTGTTGTGCAAATTATTTCCTTTATACGTAGTACAAAGGTATATCTATTTTCAAACCTAGCTAGGGTGCCTCCCGAGGGGGGTGAAATGATTGTATGTGATGTTCACCCCTACATTTTCAGGTGTTGTGCGAGAAATAGTAGAAGAGTTGGACTTAGGTGTGCGGTTGTAGCTTGTCAACCTCAAAGCTTCGAATCAAAAAATCATCTTTTGAAATGTAAATATTGATCTTTTGGTTTCAGTGAAAATTGTTTGTGTATGGCTTTTGCTTCTGTATATATTTATCCAAACCTATCACTCCTTTGGCTTTTGTAAACTGAACTTTTGGGATTTCTGTTGTAAAAAAGGTTGCTTATGAAATGGTTTGAATGTTATGGATTTTACATGAACTCTGATATTTATTTTGATATTAATTTTAGAGGCCTTGCGTATCTTAAGGACATAGGAGCATTGCCATGTTCTAAGAATGGAGCATACAACTCTCATGTGTTTTTAGGATTCGCGACGCTGTCACTAGCGGCCTTGAAGACCTGACCCAAGTTGGCCTCCCCGCGCCCCTGCGTGCCGATCCCCTTAGCCTGAGCCGAGTCGAGCCCCTGGCCCATGCCAGTCGACCTTCTTGCCACACCACCATCAGCCCTGTGGTGAAGATGCCATGTCACTCACACCCCCCTTCGGCCCCCGTCGAGCCAATTTTTCAAGTCCCAAGACTCCCAAAAATTCAAGAAGAAGAAAATTCAAATTTTTCTTACCTTGGTGCGGCACAGAGAAGAAGAACAACAGCGAGAGACGATTCTTTGCAAGGGCAAGAGAAGAAGAAAGCTAAGGTAGGGGAAGAAAAATTTCCTCTGCCTTATCTTCCTTGTTGGAATAATGATTACACTCCAAATTTATTTAATCCCTTGCTTAAGGTAAAATTAAATAGGAATTGGGGGCAATTGGTGTCATTTTCCTAGAAGAAGTCTATCTCCAAAACAAAAAAGGAGATCAAGTTCAAATTGGGAAATAACTCTACAAACCCAAGCAACTTGGGATTTCTACACTACCATCCTTTCCTGCGTGCAGCCTAGTAGGTGTAGGGGCTTTTGTAGAGCCTAAAATAATCCCAAAAATTCTAGAGGCGACAGGTGAACTTTTATTCAAGAAAAACAAGATTGGCCTCAATAAATGGGCAGGCTACTCAGATACTCCCACATGCAGCTCACACCCCTAAAGGTCCCAGTAGCTGAATATGATTGCCAACAGCTCACTGGCCCTTGGCAAAGAAAAGTCAAAGCATTAAAGATAATGATTAATTATCCAAATCCTATCTTTAATACATTCCCATTTGAAGATTGACTCCAATCATGTAAGTAATCCCAATTTAAATAAATAAGGGATAATTACACCATTATCTCAAGATATTATTTCCTATTTAATATCTTGAGAATATTTCTCCATAAACACCTTGGCCAATAGAATGCCGCCACCTCTAGGGTAAAACCCTAACATTGTGGCTGACCCTATCCCTATAAATACCCCATATTCTACCAAATTTTCAGAAATTTTGCTACCCCTAAAAAGCCCTAAACACTTTACTCTCTTAGAGAAACTGACTTAGGCATCAGAGATCCATTGGCCTAACTGCCCCTAATCTCGTGGGTGCGTGATGCTTAGGTCTTTGATCAAAGGTGTTGATTGTTTTGCAGGTGCATTTTCATCAAGACTGAAGATAGCGGAAATTTGCATTGACAGATGTGAATCTTTGTCAATTATGATTCTCTTTCACACTAGCTCTCTTTGAGCCCTTGCATGAGATCTTTTTTACCGCTCATTTGCAGTTTATCACTTTAATGAGGCAGTTTTTATGCAGTTAGGGGGAGACAAGAACATCAACATTCATGTACCAGATGTTGCTCCAGATACATTCCTTTGATCTAGCTAAAGTGACGAGATCATATACCAGCTGCAAACATGCCTGCAAGGATAGATGTACTTAGTGGACGTCGAGTCAACATCGCTGAAGAGTGTGCCACCCCTGTTGGATGGTTTAGATGCCCTTGTTGGATGGTCCAGTACATCGGCAAATAGCCAATCAATCTGTCTTGGCCCGAAGCATGACAGATCACTCGATTCATAGGATTCACTTCCCTAGAAGAGGAAAACACCGCATACTAGTGAATCTATACTTGATCGTTGTCTCAAATCATTTCCATCTCATGAGATTAATCCAGATTACTCCCGCGACTTGAAGTTCATGGTCCAGTATACTAATTTGGATGAAAAAATGGAATTGAAATGAGATTACCATCGATGATATTTTCACTTATATGGTAGCTACCGACATAAATGAAAAACGATGATATCGAACTGTGTTCCGTTGATTAAGTGACAACGTAGAACTGATTGGACAACTAAAATTACAACCTAGGTCAAATTCCTTACCAAAGTGTGTTTTGGACCTGTCATTCCTACACTGCCCAAGGTAACCCTATTGTGTTATAAGTGCGAAAGGAAACATATTGAGATTAATGAAATAATGCGATATGATGCACGCCTTACGACGCAAGGTTTCTCTCAAACGTCATGTGATTGATAGCAGCATTATGAAGTGTGGTTAGTGTTTTCTCTATGGGGATATAGATATGGAGATTTACATGTAAGTTCTCGAAGAATTACATGGACTGGTTCAAATAGTTCCAAACCATGGAACACTCTCTCAACTCGTTTAAGGCAGTCACTTATGGATTGAAACACTTTGACGGATGTGGTATACCTGTCTAAGTGATTATTTGATCAGCCAGGGATATGAATGAATGCCCTTGCGTGTTAAACTTTGAAGTCTTATTTCGAATTGCTAGAGTTACAGTTTATGTCGTTGACACGAATCTCACTAAGACTTTAGAAGAGCTTGAGAAAACTGCCTCGCACTTGAAGATGGAATTTGAGATGAAGGATCTTAGGAAAATTCATTTATGCCTTGACTTGAAGTTCAAGCAGTGTTTTGACAATACCTTAGTCTACTAGTTGAACTACAGCTCAAATGTGTTACCTTTGAGTATACCTATAATCGTCCATACGTTATATGCAAATAAGACTCTTGAAGAGGTTATGGAATCTGAAATTCGATATTTAAGTTCAACTTTGCACTATGTTGTACTTAGCTCATTGTATTAGAAATGACATCTCCTTCGCTGTTGATCTATTGGTAAAGATGCAGTGCCGTGACTACACATAACCACTGAATTGGTATTAAAGATGTACCCTAAAGGTACAACGGATTTGGGCAAATCAAACGCATCTCGAGTGGATCCAACCCCTTGGTCCTTGGAATGATGCTTGCCTTGTTTGTTATGCTGATACAAGTTACTTATCAAACCCATACAAGGCAAAATCCTCGAATGGTTATGTCTTTACCGTTAGGGATATCGCAATATCTTGGAGGTCCACGATATGACCTTAGTTGCGAAATCTTCGAATTGTTCCAAGACTCACCTTAGTTCACTACGCCACACGTGAGACATGGTTAGGAGTTCTTGTTGAGCATATTCAAAGTACTTTCTATTTTCATCCATCGTTGAGTCCCAACGACGATCCATGAAGACTATGTTGCATGTATCAACCCGACCAAGACATGATACATCAACGAAGTCAACACCAAGACATATTGCGTCCACATCTACATCTGCAAAGCATCAGGAGATTGAAGTCATGCAAACCGATCCCAAACAACCTTGCCAACCCCTACACGACGTCACTGCCAAAGTCAACCTTCTAGAAGCTTATCTGAGGAATTGGTATACCTAACTATTCATATGCAATGCTTGAAGTTCTCATTTGGAAGTTCTGTCAAACATAGGGGGAGTATCTAGAAGTATACTCACTTGATCTTATTGTACTCTTTTTCCCTATGATTAGGAGCATTTTTCCCACTGGGTTTTTGTTACCTAACTAGGTTTTAACGAGGCACCCATCCTGGGTTGATCAAACCCTTGTGAGCTTTTCTACTTACGTCCAGAAGACGTATAGTTTTGACTTAAGGAAACTTCTAACTTTTCTCCTTAGTTTATGGGTTTTTATCCCACCTTGGGTTTTAACATAGTGAGGTTTTGTAAGTTTTACCTTTTTATGCATTCTTCCATTAGTTTGAGACTCGCATTTGCTCATTGTGCCGACAACTTCATCAATTGTACTTACATCATCACTGAAGAACTGATGCGCCATTTACTTGAGTATTTACACACTCAAGGGGGAGTGTTGTAGTCCTATTAGATGAGGAATGTGATTGTGTAAATCCTAGTAGATCTAGGAATATCTCTTTATATTCCTATTAGGAGTTGATTACCTATTAAGAGTTGTAATCCTAAAAGGGTAAGGAATTAACCTACATTGCTACTATAAATAATGGCATAATGGGGTGAAATAGAGCACACCTCACAATTACACATCTCTCTCTTCTCTCTACTATTGATACACCCTCTCTCTATGGCCTCCATAATTGTTCAGTAAATTATGCCTACAACAATTAACTTTTTAACACACATATCCCACTATTTGTATAGTGACATGTGGTGTACCACCTCGTGTGTCGGTCACACTGAAAACTCTCTCCTTGTTGGCTCCCCTTCCAAATCATTATTATTATTATTAGGGATTTGGCCTAATTGGATTATTAGTTCTATTGGTCATAGAATAGTTGGAAGATAGCCATGTAGTAAAAAAAGAGAATTCACGTTCAAAATTGAAAATTCTGTCAACTCTCCGCTAATTTTGGGCCCAAATCCTAATGAACTTCACTATTGGGTTTACATCCTAATTTTTTTTTACCATAGGATTATCTTCCAACTACCCTATCACCATGAAAACTATTAATCAAATTAAGCCTTTAGGATTTTCAAATTATTTTGAATGTGGGTGTGATTTTTGTTACCCAAAAAACAAAATTTGTAGTAACTTTTAAAATGCTTGGATAATACAAGTTTAAAGATATTGAAATTTTATCAATTTAAACACAACAAATGATAGCAATTTTTGCACTAATTTTTGTATTCGGACCTTTTCACAAGTTTAATATGTCACTTTCTACACAAAATGAAAGACGTTAATGCTTTCGAAATTATATTTTTTTTTGGTCAACATCTTTAATTTCTAGACAAAAGCATTAAACTTCTTTTTTGTATAACCATTGAATCGAGGCTTTCGTTTTTTTTTTTTTTGAACAAACTATAAACTTAGCTTCACATTGAGTTAGCAATAATGTGATTCAAATTCTCCTTTAGCGAGAATTGAACCTAAGACCTCTCACTTGTGAGGCTTAGCTCACTTCGTCACTCTCTTACTGTAGATAATATAGTTTGTTCAAAAAAAAAAAAAATTAAGTGGTAGTGCAAAGATTGCTAGTACTCTCCTTTACATATTTTATCTCTTTGAATGTCGAATAATTTATTAAATTGAGGGTTTTCTTTATGGCAATCTGGTGCAAATATGACATACAAGTTAGTCCATATGAGGTTCTCAAACACACAATGTCATCATTTTAATGAATTAACATACAAACAATCAGATCATAACATAAATTAATACAATTTCAATATCTTATGAAAAAAAAATTGAAACTCTATGACCCATTTTAAAAATCACCTCAATCGTAGTGGATGTGAATTATAGTTAACCATTTTTTCTTTTATCAAAAGTTTAATTGGTAATTGTTTTCAGTTAAATTTTGAAAGCTAAGACTATAAAGGAGATGAGTCAAAACAAATGTTTAAGCTCAAGTTTTGCTTGTCTAAATATTTTTCAAACTCAAACTAGGCTTGACTTACATCTTATATGAGTTCAACTCGAGCAAGCTTAAATTTAAGCTCGATTTTCAAGCTTGATATTGAGCACAAGCTGTTTCGAGCTATTTACAATAATAAGTTAGTCTAGTCTTGTACACAAATTCGCAACTTAGCATCACATTTTAGTAATAGAATAAATAAAAGGGAATTTTTATTAGCACTCCAAAAATATAATTATTGTCACATCCCGGCCAGGGGCGAATCACTTCCCGGGCCCGCTCCACTACCGTAGCACGATATTGTCCGCTTTGGGCTTACCATTCCCTCACAGTTTTGTTTTTGGGAACTCACGAGTAACTTCCCAGTGGGTCACC